AACAATCTTACCCTTAGGATGCCTCCTAATAGCCCTATGGGGACTACCATAACTCCTAGAAGGCTGGCTCCTTTTCTTGATCTTTCCCAAAGCACTGTTAAAACTCGCTAATGATAGATCATTGTAAATCAACTAACTGCAATTAAGTGTGATAGCTGGATAAAACCCAACTTGTTCACTGCTACAACAAATCTACTACCTGGGAATCAGCAAGGAAAGTAATATGGCTTGCACTTCCAGTCACAGTTTTGTGGACCAGATTTCCTTTCACTGCATTAAAAAAAAAAACCTTCTAGAATCATCTTAAAACTATCCAAGCAACTTTAGGAAGATATGTAGTGCAATATAGAAATGCAGCAGGCTGAATTTGTCCCTTCAATTAAGGATTAATCCCAATTCAAATCCCACCACAATGAAGACAGTATATGGTTCCTTTCTGTCAAAGGATGCTTTTCATGAACAGCCAGGTTGTATCTGTATAGGAAAGAACTCTATGCACATGGCTTATCGATTTTATTGTTTTTAATTTATTGCATTTTAATCCATCTTTTTCCTGCAAGTAATCAAGGCAGCTTACATCATTTTATCTCTTTTTATCCTTATAACAACCCTGTACGGTAGGCTAGGCTGAAAGGCAGTAACTGGAACAAAGTCACTCAGAGACAAGGCCAAGTGAGCACTAGAGGCCAAGTCAGATCTCCCAGGTCTCCAGTCCAACACTCTAACCACTACACTTCACTGGCTATCACTGATTTCTCCCATCTAGAACCTGCCATGAGAAAGCATCTCATTTGCTACTGTGGTGATGTGCCCAATGGTCAGCTTAGACCTAAAAACTCAAGTTGTCACAGTTTTTGAATCTAATACAAATCTCATTCCATTTGGAACCATATACTTAAGACAGTATTGTACTGATGTTTTATTCGTACAAACATAATAAGCTATACTCATTCTGAATGCCTGCCTAGAGACAGATTTCTTATACAGATGAATTATTAGTTAACAACCTTAGAGCCAGCCTAAAATGACTGTAATAAATAAATAGCCAGAGTGCAAAACAAAAAGTCCTTAAATTACAGTATTTTCAAATAATAAAAAGCCTTTTTAACAAGACTGATTAACAAGCATGAACTTTAAGCATCAAATATTATGACAGCTAATATTTGAATATAATTGATGACTTAAAATACTCTTCAAACATTAATTTGCTGGCAGGAAAAATACTTGCAACAGGAATAAAGCTATTATTCAAAACAAGCTCAAGATAGTGTTTTTAATTCTAAAGTCTATTAAATGAGCTTTTATAAAATTAAAAGAGTTTCAAGACCAACAGCTTGACCATGTCCGCTATCAGCAGACCTTAAAATCAAATGGGAGCAAACCTTTGTGCTTTGGCATTGGCATAAAACTTAGCTTCTGCCTTGAGCTGGCAGAAATGCAACACAGCTTTGATATTTCATCTACGCAAGGGACCTAGGTGCCACAGTTGCAAAAACAAGTATAAAGCAATAAAATAGGATAAGATTTATGTACCTCCCTTCAGGAAAGTTTCCAGTGCAGCTTACAAAAAGAACCCAAGATGAAATATACCAAACAACAGCATAAATAAAGCGGCAGCTAGGCCTGATTTCGCCACACACCAATTCAGCCAGTGGCCTCTAAGCTCCCACTCAGGTGTTATTGTTGTACACCACTCTGAGAACGTTTTTTTGCAGAATGAACGCTATATAAGAGTTTTATATAAATTACAGAAAAGTCTGTTCTTGCACCAGCACTACCTTGCAGATACAGCTGGTTGCATAACATGGTCCTCAAGCACTAACAATCAGAACCATACACCAGTGCAGGGAGAGACCACAAACACACTGCAGGACAGGACTGAGTCTTGCTTCTGCACCAGCATCTGTCATGACAGCAAATATCACATAGAGCTGCAGTATCAGAACTGAGCATGCACACCAAGATTAACAGCATGTGAGAAGACAACACTCTGCTCCTAAGCCACAGATTGGAATTAGGGAGAATCAATATAGGCAAAGTATGGACAACAGGAAACAAAGTGCACACAAAAGCAGTTAAGAACGGAAGAGAAATTAGTAAAATGAAAGGAAGAGAAATTAGTAAAATGAAATAATATCAGTCACAGGCTCTTACACAAACACACCTGCACACAGAGAGTTCAAAGGAGTGAAACAGGCATGCTTAACTTCTTCCTATGTATTTCACTTCAGGCCTTTGGATAACAACACCTACCAGAAACCCCAGCTTAGCTGTTGTAACATGGTGTGAAAGAAAAGGAAAAACCACTGCCCAATGACATGTGAAGTCCAGGAATACAAATCATCACCAGAACTAATTTATCAGCCTTGGATGAGACCTACTGCCCAACACACAAATACAGAACATGCCCCATCTTAAGTCCTAAGGAAATGGTTCTTAATCTAAAAACAACTTTAAAACCTTTTGAGCAGAACCAGCTTCTTCCATGAAACAAGCATTTTCAGGTATGTTCAAAGCTCAGGAAAGGAGCTAGTCTGTAGCAGCTCACACATCAGAAATGTAACGTGAGAAGGGGAATGGACTTATTAAATGCACAGCTTCACTTTCCATTGCCACCATGGATTTCACTCTTCCACATCCATACTTCCAGCCAGGCACTTGGGATTTTCAAAATATTTGGGGAATATTAAGGAAAAAAACAGTAATGGCAGCAGTAGCAGCAACACCCAGACAAACGCCTTGTCTTTGCTTAAAAGGTTCATAACAGACTCATCTCTGAAGATGAAGAGAGGAACAGAATTCCTTAAACTCCCTTGTTAGAAAGTCATCAAAAATGGCAGGATTTGCCGTGAGGCATCCCAACTGTCTGTGGTGCAACTTGAGGCCTAGTAGAGCCCAATCCAATTAGGCCTACACTGCTCCACTCCATTCTTCCTCCACTTCCTCTGAAGACCATGCAGACTTCATGACTTCAACATCAAGTCAGCCATTTTTTGTCCTCCTGTCTGCACTGCTACTCCCACTTTTTTGTAGCATCTCACCTAATGAAGAAATCTTGGTGTCTGATGGCAATTTTGTGCCTACTGGGTCAGATTTAATAAAGGTACTGCCTGACTTTGTCATTTGGAAATATTCTTCAAGACGACACACCTTGCTTTGTCTTATATAAAAAAGAGGGAGAGAGAAAACCTCTCCCAGGTGTTCTTCCTCATACATCGCCCTGACAGGTTTTAAACTGCATGGGGAGTGATTTGCAGCAGGCTCCCCACTGCTGAAGTTCAGCTCCAATGTGGGGAAGGACAGCAGAAGTGGCAAAGGTGCAAGACAATGGAAGCACAGCCCTGTTCTCCCCTTCTCACACAATGGGGAGTGCATGTAGCTTTAGTGACTGAATAAAGGGAAAGCTTAAGATAGATACAGCATTTGCCGAGAAGGAAAACAGCTCCCCCTTCGAGCAACTAAATATTTCCTCTGAACTGTCTGTTTTCAGGTTATGCAAACTAATTATTGGGATGGAAGAAATGCATGGAATAACCCATAGCATTTGAAATGGCCTTGCTGAAACCATAATAAGGAAAGAAAAGTAATGAAACTACTTGCTGATTTGTTTTGTGCTTGTTTTACATCCTTTGCAAGTCACCTTAAAAAGTAAACAATATTTTGCTTCTAGTCCAGTTCTTCTATTAGTAAGGTACATATCCCACATAATGCAATTACCCTAGAAAATGAATAAATCGAGGAAAGGAATCCCAAGACTTAAAGGTAATCTGATTAATAAATGCTAATCGTACTTGTTTGCTTTCTTGCACATGAGGAAGAAATGCTAACAATAGTCAAAATGCTCCTGGGCCCTATTCTGCAGTTCTGAGTATCTTAGGTTTCCAACTGGTGTTTTGATGGAATATCGCAAAAACAAGCCACATCCTTCCATTCCACAGCCTCCTGTAGCTCCTCTACCTACACAGTTATTATTAGCAGCACTTAAGAATGCAGCTTAACATGTGGCAACTCATTACATTAAAGAATTACAAGAGGTCCTTTCAAAACAAGCTTAATGCTGTGCAAACTTATGTGCGTGTGTTTCTGTAGAACCCCTAAATATTAGGCTTTTGCTCCAGAACTGAAGCATTTAAACAAACAAAGTTCAAATATTAGAATAAAACAATAAATCAGATCAATTATGCAAGAGTCATGTGGAACCCTAAGGACTAACAGATTTATTATGGCAAGATAACATTTCATACTTTCTACTTCACCTGGAAAGTAGAAAGTAGCTACCAAAGTTTAACCAGAATAAACTTGCTCATCTTCAAGATGCCACAACATTCTTGCTTTTGTTGTTGTTGTTGCAAATGACTCATTGCAGCAACCCCTAAGGAAATTAAAAGCCCTACATTTAATGACTACAAACAGCAGCCAGAACTTCAAACATTTAATACCCAGGGAAAGGCTTGGTACATACAAATATTGTATTGGATTCAAAGAAAAATAAGAAAGATGTTTCTTGAGATCAGCTTGCCTTATTAAGATGGCTCAGACATCATGACCTAGACTATTAAGACTCTTCCCCTAGAGCCAACTTACAGGGAGGGGTGCCAAAGCTCAAAATGTCCATGTGTACAAAGAGCTAGCTGAATAGACAGGAGCAACATGAACTTCATTTTGGAAGGAAAAGCTGCTCTAGACAAACCTGTGCAAATGCTATTGGATGAGGAAGCTTTTTCAAGGTGGAATACATAGGTCTGGTCCCCCAAACAGGCACAATCCATAACCAGATCTGCTGAGTTTGAGGTAGGTGGTTCCTTTTCTCTTACTCAAGTCATAAGATGGGCTATCCTCTTTCTTTCACTGACCTTCATTAAATAACAGAAGTGCCTCTATTTCCCTACAGTGGTGGAATGAAATGACTGTACATCAGAAAAAATAACCCACTCAAAATTGCAATCCCAGCATATTTAACGGTGAGGGAAAGGGCTGGGAGAACAACAGAAATTCCTCACCGTTCTTCATCCTTGAAGATGAATTTCCGCAGCTTGAGATCCCGCAGTACCAGTCCGCCGTCGTGGCAGTGTGCTACAGCAGATGCTATCTGATGGAAGAGTTTGGCTGCCTCTTCCTCCTTCAGCTTCTTGCAGGTACGAACAAAGGAATGCATGTCCCCATAGCTCCTCTCAAAGAACACATAAGCTTTTGTCTCCCCAAGAATGATTTCAGTGATTTGGTTGATGTTGTCGTGAGGAGGCAGACAAAAACACGGTGCAAGCAATTCCTGGTAGCAGCCAATATCAAACACCTAGAAGTATGATTGGCAAGAAGAGAAAGGGTTAGAGAAAGAAACACGATGTAGCAGATGTGCTATTTATGAATGAATGAAGCTCAACAGCCCTTATATTTAAGTAAACCGAGTCATGTGCAGTCCACAAGGGCTTCCTTTCCTACCATCACACACCCCAGCCAAAGGCTGTGCAGGTTGGGGCAGGGAAAGACATGGACTGATTCCCTGCTTCATTACAGGATATGCATAAAGGGTTTTAAAACAACAGCTCTGGACAAGCAAAAAGTGTTAAAATCACGATAGCTGAACATGTAATTAAGCTCTGATTTTGAACTTTGATGGCCCATGTTTTCACACTGAAAGGAAGTGTCAGGCCTTGGGCGTTTCTCCTCTCCCTTCCAAATGAAACTCCAGTATGGGTTTTGAAAAGAAAGCAGAGTAAGGATATTTCTTTAAAAGGACACTACCATCTTATAAACATACTGCTGGCAAAACACATGTTCACTATCTCATTCAGTGCTGCTGGTTAATCATTTCTACATCCTGCCTTCTTTTGTTCTCTGACACTGGAAAAACAAACAAATAAATAAGGAAGCCAATTTTACTTTCAAATTGTCAGGCAAATGAATCTAAGCCCCCACTGGTCAGCAACTGATCTATTTGCTCTGTCTACTGACACACTGATGCAGCAGCCAAGACAAGGGCTAAAGGGCTCCCGAGTCCCTTCCTGCTTAGTCAGTTTCTATTATGCAGAAACAAAAGGAAACGATTCTGTCCAGCCACTTTTCAAGGCAGCCCTCCCCAACCTGATGCCCTCCAAGTGGGCTACATTCAACCCCAGAATGCCTCACTCTTGCCTGCCTAAGGCTGATGGGAGCTGAGGTTCAAAACATCAGGAAGCTGAGGAAGGCTGCTCTAAGGAAAAGCTTCTTCTGCCCCCTCACCCACTTTGTGGGAATACCACCGAAGACTGACTGGCAAGAGTCTCCTCTTTATGCACCACCGCTGTTCCGTCCTGCTTCCTGTGTCATTTCTAGCACATGAGGGTTCACAGATGAGGATAAAAAGGACAGTCTGCCAGTGCCTCTCATAAAAAGGGGAAACAGGGCAAAAGACCCTTGGCACAGGTCTCCAAGCAAGGCAGGAAGAGAGGAGGTGCCTATAACCTCTTGTATAGGGGAAACAAGAGTTCATAACAGATGCTCTTTGGTCTAGGCCAATGTTGTTGGACAGGTGAGAAGTAGCTGTGGGGCTGGACTGAGCCCTCCACTCCCAGGCTGCAATTTGTCTAAGAAAATGGTGTGACTCTTGCATGTAATTACTTTGCTCAGAGTTTAAACTGAGTGCCCTTTTGAACAGCTAAATGCCTCTTTAACAGCAGGCACATCACCTGTGTTCTTGTGAATGAAGAGTAAGAAACCATAAAGCATGCTGGGAAACTCCCAATATAAAAATGTTACACTAATCCAGTGATTATGAATGAATCAGTGCTCGAGACAGTTAGAAGACACACAGATTCAAGGCAACAGGAAGACTTCATTGAGAAGAATGGATGCACTGCAGTAAGAAGACATAACCAATACACATCAAACATTTTCACTATTGGCAAATTCTATGCCCTTCTGATGCCTTTGTCCCTCAATAATGAAGGCCAGAAAGTTACCAAACCAGACTGATTCTGTTGCTGCAGCCTATGTTGCACAATTCAAGGATAAATGTGGCGTATCACTTGCTTTGCTAGAGCTTAACAATATTGCGTTAATTGGTATGGTCCTTAACATATGCAAAACCTACTTGAGAGACATTACCTGTAACCATCTTCTGAGACAGGATAGCACTTGCCTTGAAGACATACAGCCTGATTCTATGAATATGTATTTGGGAGGAAACGCCACCTAATTCAATGGGTCTTGCTCCTAGCTAAATATGGCAGCCTTCATCCTTAAGTCAGCTAAATGTCACTGTAGCAAGCATTACTAGGCAGTTGTGCAAACTTTAGTATTCCATGAAAAGCTTCACCATTGCACTTTTCCCACTGCCCCTCAAGACTGTGGAAAAGTGTGTGAAAACCCTGGAATTTTTACTCAGCTATACTAACAGGCCAGCTGCCCTTTCTGAAAAGAACACTGCAGGTATTTTGCCACTGCACAAAAGCTACTCCAGGGGCAACTCACCTTCTTCTAGCTGAACACATCAATTATTGTGTCAGAAGATGTGGGGAGGAATCTCACCCTCCTTGCGCCTGGTAAGCTTGAGGGTCATTATCTTCCAAGTACTTCAAACTGAGTATACCTTACACCAGCAACATTTTCTTTAAACATCCATTTCTGCTGCCACATCCCCAATCTCTCAAAGGCTTATTTCTATTCAATTAGAACACAGAATCACAAGGGAAGACTTTAACAGCTAGGCCAATTTAGGTATTTCCAGCAATGGAAACACGAATCACCAAGGTTCTAAACAAATGTAAGGCATACTAAGAGATGCCCATCCAATTAAAGGTACACTGGTAACAAGTCCATTTATAATAAGGCAAGGCATAGCAGAAATTTATATTACAACTATACTGCAAGGATAGTATTTAATTTATATGGGAAGAACTAAGGGAAATTGTTGGAAGGCACACAATAATTATTACAAATTTACAAGTGAAGGAATTCCCATATTTTTTAGGATGGTGTTCAGTTTGACACCAGCTAAATGTAAAAAGATCTTACTACTACTGAAGTACTGAAAAATGCAATTTCACAGAAATAGATGGAGATATTCACTCACATTGGAGCTAAAGTTTTGTTACATGGTGTATTCCCTAAGTAATACAAATACGATTGCAAGAGTAGGTGAAGTGAAGGGTATCTGGGGCTTCTGGACAATTTCTAGCAGAAAAGTAGCAAGGCAAGACTTTTCTCTTTCATGTGTAAATATATCATTCCTTGGCCTTCAACTGTTCTTCCGCAGCAGGAGGCTAAGAATATTTTGATTTGGACAAACTAATCCATGCATTTCAAATAATGCCCACTGTTAGCCCCATTTCCGGCACCTTGCAGTGGAAGTCCGGCAAGGTCAGACTCTTTCTTTGACATAATCAGGCATAAACCATGGAAAACTAAATCTTCATTAAGAGCTAGGGTTCATGACTCATTTATATTGCCCCTGCAAAGCAAGCCTTTTACGAGTAACTAGGGAGTGTAATTTAATTTTCCCACCGCATATGAATCTAAATAAAAACATCCACTAGTCAACAGGCCTGTGCAAGAGTGTCAATGTACCTACTGTTAATTTCAAGCATGCCAATTCAACCCCAGGGTTGAGGATTGATTATTTCTTTTTAAAGCCCATAATTGCACGTTTTGGAACAATTCTAGTATTTAAAAGGTGGAGGGTGTCTAGGCATTTTCTCCCCATCATTATCCAGGAGTACAGCCCAGAAGGATAGAGCCTAAGTCTGACGCACCAGGAACACCGAAAAGAGTAACCACAGCAGTTTAGGAACAAAGGAAGTAGTATCGCCTCTGACTGAATGGGAGCAGCTTCCACTGATAGGCAAGCATGTGGGCTTCCCTTCCTCATACAGTTCACCTTCAAGCAATAGCTGAAGAGACTAGAGAATGGGTAGCAAGCAATCTACTGAGTGTCTGCTCATTTTTGTATGCCCTAACAAACACGTAAAAATGTGATTATGCAAAGATTTAAAGTTGTGGCCGGAACATGAGGGAATGGTGTTTGCAAACAATCCATCAGTGCTCGGCAAGTGAATTTTTTAACATCAGCTATGCAGCCCAATCCCACGCATGTTGTCTTGGAAGCAAGTCCTGCTCTGTTCAATGGGGTTTGCTCCCAAGTGTGTGTGTCTAGGGTTACAGCTTTCAACAGACAAAGCTACCAGCCTGCATTTGTCAGTTAGCAGACAATGAATGCAACCCCACAAAACCCCAAGCAAGGAACTGAAGCATTTTGAAAGAACAGTTTAAAATTACCAAGGGATTCCTATTATGAAAACCAAAAAATTGGAAAGCAGGGTGTGCAGAGAAATCAGATTACAGACATGCTGCGATCTAGTTTTTAAACACAAGTCCCCCCCACTCCTGGAGTTCCCCTCCCCCCAGTTTTGGCTTTAGGCCACCGTTATAACGTGGCCATTGTCTGGAAAGTTGCTGAGAGCCGTTTAATTACGCGAGGCTTTTGTTTTGTTTAATTACATTCCGAAATGCCTAAATCAATGCCCGCCCTCACCCCATGAGTATCTTCTAAAAATAAACTCGCTAGACAGAGAAAGGCTCAAGTGTGTGCGAGAGGAAGGAAAGTTGTTACCTTGCAAACCAGCTCCTCCTCGCTGTGCAGATGTACGGCTCGAAAAATGTGATCTCCTTCCAGAGGCTCCAACAGTAAGTATTTCCCGATGCAAGAAACGCAATGCGACAAGTTCGGAGTCTCTGGCGGGCTCGGCGAGCCTAGGTTGGGGCTGAAACTCTGGCAGGACTCGGTGGGTCTTATTGACGAGAGCTCCTCAAAATCCTGGGTTTTATTCCGAGGTCTTCCATAGCGTGCTATTGTGATGGGGGTTGACCTTTGTATGTTCATGGGGATGGAGAGAACAAACCCTCCGAGCAACCCCCCCCAATTCACTCACTCACACAAACACACACCCTTTGGGGTGATCCGAAGATCAGTCGCTTGCCACAGGTCCGTGGCAATAATGCCTTTGTGCTGTCGTTGAAAGGGTGTTTGTAGGACAGGTTGATGTGGGATTCTAGTCCAAGGTATATAGACGAGCAAAGTGGGAGTTGGATTGGAGGGGGGCGAGCAATCAATCGGAAGGGTCCTTCCCGACGCGCTCCCGGCACGTTCGATGCGAATCCGGGGCGGGGGGGAGTCTCTCGCGCAGGAGCAGCGAAGTAGCGCGGACCGGGATCAGACAAAAACGTGCACGATCGCAAAACGTGGCCTCGCAGGAAACACTACTGTACTATTCTTTTTTCTCTTCTTTTCAAGAGGAGCAATAAATAATTAAAACGAAAAGTCTGGAAGGAAAATAGATGGGCTAGCAGTATTTGCTTTCCCGATCACTCCCTGCGAAATCTTCACACGAAGGAAAAGAATTCGTTGAGGCAACAAGCTGCAGCAGACGACTGGATTCTCCTTTCCTCGCTTTTTCAGTAAAAGAGGGGGGCAAGAATGTTCCTTTTTACCTACGTTTTAACTGTAGATGGCGTCTGAACCTTCTTCCTGATAGCAAGGGCTATCCAGAAATGCAACAAAAAATAACGAGGGAGCATTTAACTTCAGAGGGTCAGCAAGAAGCTCCGCCGACAAAAAGAAAGGGGGGAAATGAAAACAAAAAGGGGCGGCGGGCAGAATGCACACTATTTGGTCATAGATTTATCTTTTGCACCTTTTCTGCCAGCTGGAAGATGTTCTTAAAAATGAAAGGCACCGTCACCGCCGGGAAAAGCGAGAGGGGCACAAAGATCCACGAGCTGCAACACTGGTTTTTATGTGCGCGATGCTTTCCTTTGATCAGACCAAAAAAAAAAAAAAAGTGCAACCAAGGACACGAAGCGATCGATGCTCTTCAGCTTTCCATCGCGCGGGGTGGCTGGCCGCCCTCCGTTCGTCGACTTTCACCAGATCTTTGGCGTGCAATGCACATGCGAACAAAAATAAACCATGAAGGACTCCCCGGACCAAAACAAAACGAAACAAAACCGCGGCAAGAAGGAAGCCCCTCTCGACAGTTTCCTTTGTGTGCGTGCGTGCGTGTGTCCCCCACACCTCCCACAGACTGAGTCCTGAGATGCGAAGAAGCCGAAGGCAGCCAGAATATTTTAAATATGTATAATACTATATATAGTATTATCTGAATTATTCCAGGCGTCGATCTTTATTCCTAGAGGTAGAAGGAGAGGGGGAGGAAAGGGATGGCCGAGCCAGTCCCTTTCAGCAAGACATCATCTCTCCAGCATGTATAAATAGCTACTTACGTGGCTGGGATTCTCGCTCTTGCTGCGTCTCACTACTCAGTGGCAGCGGCGGCGGCGGCGGCGGCACATTGACACCGAGCCGGAGTGCAAAAGGCTGACTGACTAAGTGCCCCGTCCTCGCCGACTGGCTCGAGAGGAAAAGGCCCGCCCCGGGCTCAGCCGCCTCCTCATTGAGCCAAGAGCGCATCCATCACGCGAGCAACCTGCCAATCCTCTCTCTCCCTTCCAGCCTCCCCCCTCGGTCTTTTTTCTCTCCTCTCCCTCAATGAGTCTGTGGCGGGGTAAACAAGGTAAAATATCCTTCCGCCGCGCAAGCTGCGCAAAATGTGAGCGGCTTCTCGTGTTCGCCGCTGCCGGTTCCAGGGACAGGAGCGGCGCTGCCGTGATCTGAGGCCGCTTCCGCTTGGCCAGGGCTCTTTGTGGGACGGGGCTGAGCATCTGTGCATATCCGCGTGTTTGCCCGCTTTATGAATTGAGAAGCTTTAGTAAACATTCCTTTTAATTTGCTGAGTAAGCGTAGCAATAGCATACTGAAAAGCGTGTGCTTCTTTTCGCCTTTACAAACGATGGGGCCTCCTCCCGGTCAAAATGAAAAAGTTTTTCCCGAGGTAACCGGCAATATATATATATATATCTTTCCTTTTTTAAAAGTTTCACTAAAATAGAGCTGCCGACTTCGGCGAGGAGGGGGCAGAAGTCTGCGATTATGAGGAGAGGAAGTTCATCAGGTGAAGCATCTTCCCTGCCGCACCCCCCCCCCCCCGGGCCGCCAGTAGTGACACTCATGCTCTGCTTGTGGGATTCTGCAGGCAGTAGGCTGAACTACGAGGAGCCTTGGTCTGGTCCAGCAGAGCTCATCCTATTTTATTGTATTTTAACCAGCTCAAAGCTGGGGGAAAGATTCTCCTGTACAAATTCTCCTCTGATGGACCTAGAAAAGCAGAGGGACTCTGCCAGGATTTTTTTTTTTTTAAATGTCAGCACCATAATGGAATGGTAGCAAAAGCCCTGCTCTTCCCAGAAAACAAAGGTGAGTGTAATGAGTGGCTAGCTGGTGCAATTTCTATTTTAAGGTGAGACTAGTCTATACTTGGTTCCATACCTCCTCTCTGCATCTGTCAGCAGCTCTGCAGCATATCAGGAGGAGAATACAGGTGCTCTGCCTTTTCTTTGACTTGTCAGGCTCAACCCTTGCTCAGTAGCCAGGCTGCCCACCAGACAAAGCCAGGGAGAAGATGCTTTGGCCAATTTGCACTTTATCTTAATTAGTGATTCCCTTTTTGTGTTTTCATAGAATAAATAAATGAAAAAGAACATGTTCCTCTAAAGATAATAAGGTAGCCCTGTTGCCCCCCCCCCCCTTTAAAATCTACATTGGGATAATACTGTATTTATATCCCACCTTTTTCCATCCAAGAAATTCAAGGAAGCGTACATCATTCTCCTCTCAATCTTACATCTCAACAACAACATTGTGAGGTAGGTTCCACTGAGAGGCTGACTGGCCCAAAGTCACCCAGTGTTCTCCATGACTGAGGACTAGAAACCAGATGACTTGAATCCTAGTTCTGCACTCTTAATCACTGTACCACACTGGTTCATAATAAATGCTGTTACTAGGCCAATTTAGAAGGTCACAAAAAGCTCTGAAGGCTTTGGTTCTGCTGACTCTTAAGCAAGCAAGATACTAAACAAAGCAAAAAAAGGAAAAGTAAGTGATGCTGAAGTCATGGAGTCTGAATTTGGTTTCAGTCTTCAAATGGAAAGCAGGGGAGGCTGCAGACATTCAAATTAGGTATTGAGATGGTTTCAGCTAACCCCTGGGATCCCCTCCAAGGTTTGATGAGAAAAAGAAATACAGTGGAGGGTCATCCATTTCTGAAACTATAAAATTTCAGAATTTTGCCTTGTCCTTACCCAGAACACTCAATATCCTTCATTGGTGGAAAGAAAGAAAACAGTAGTAGAGAGAAGCCAAGTTCTGTTTAAAATGTGGAAAACATGTCAACTACTGTGCTAGGTAAAAAAAAAAGTTGAATGCATCACTAAATGCATGTTTTTCAAATCACCAATGTTCTATGGTGAAATGACTTCACTTGTTTGAACCATCTCATGTTTTGAAATAATAAATGACCAGGTAACTAGGCCATTACTTAACTGAGCGATACCTGTTTTGCAGCCTTGGAAACTACCAGCTTCGGTGAAAAACTCCAGTTATTTTGGCCTACCATTCCCATCCCTGACCATTCACTATGCTGACTAGATCTGCCCACTCCAGCTTTAGTGCATGAGGTGGTAGATTGATTTTAATCCTAAACAGGGATAGTCAAGAGTAAGTCGCACTAAAATGAATGGTGTTTAATACTTGACCAAACTAACTTAATACTGCAAATTGTTAAGCTGCAAAAAAAAACTTGTTTTGGGGTTTTCAGTGTTATGCATATTTCCATTGCCTGCAACTTGCTGTGTCAAACAGTTCAGCACAAAGAGGTTGCTTAGTAAAAGAGATAGTGTGAACAGTTGAAAAACATTACCTTGCATGTCCTAGTGCTGCCATATTTTTATTTCAGGATGGTTTCTGTGCCCAAACAGCAAAGTGACTTAATTTAGTGATGATTTTTTACTCCCACCAATCCCTCATGTCAGGAAAGTCTTCACCTGTTTAATCTCTGTCAGGCTGCAGGAGCAGCATTTAAAAAGAAATAAATAAAGTGGAACCCAAGCGTACTCCACAGGGAAAGATATTGAAGAAAATCTTCATAAAATGATGCATCATTTGAAGAACAATCCATTATTGCGTCTTTATGAGAAAAATGTACTCAGCAAACCAGTACAAATCAAAAGTAGATGGGTGGCAAAATGAATTTTTGATTAGTTTTACGAAGTGTGAAAGCAATTTTCTTCCAAGTAGAAAACATAGATTAGAATTCTTTCAAACCAAGATAAAGCAACACAGTAGATCAAGAATGTGGAAAAATTTCATGGTGGCAAGGTCAGTGCACTTTAACAAATTCTAAAATATGTTTGGTTTAAGCAAGCCTCATCAAGCTTCTCAGAGATGGATGTTAATGCAAACACCTTGATTCCTTCCCCACACACTTTTTTTAAATTTAAATTTTATTAGAGTACACAAGCCATTTGGAAGGTGTGCAAGACACATTAACATTCTTCTAAAATGCTATTAAAATATGATTAGCTCTGGGAGGATAAGATGATGGGAGGATTCAATAAATTAAAAGGCTGTGCAAAACCAAAGTTATTTCTACAGTAAGATATATAGCTGCAATTGGCAATATAATAGAAATAGGACTGCCATATCAGAGCAGTTCTGCAAAGACAAAAATCCCTTGTTTGTGATTCATGATCTGTGGTTGGTGGTGAGAGAACTGGGAGCATAATATATCGGAGGTGGGCAGAAAGAAAGTAATCAAACAGAGCAAGTGAAACTTCTTTAAAAAGTTAAAGGCACCATCATCAACATATATATCCCATCATTCTTTCAAGGAGTCCAAGTCAGCGTATATAATCTTCCTGTCCATTTTATCTCCACCGTAATCGTGTGCTGGGATAGGCTGACACAGACTCCCCCTGAGCTTAATCGACGTGGCAACTTGAACCCAGGTCTCCCCAGCCCCTGTCTGACTCTCTAACACCATATACCATCTAGAGACCTTTGTGGCCACACCTCAGTACCATACATGGGAATGTGGCAGCTTTCTTTGCCTATAGCCACCCTTTAAAGAGTTGTAGGTCACATTTGCATGAGATAATGAACACCATGAAACCTGCTTGAGTTTAGAGAAGGAAGCTGAAGATGGATGCATGCGTGCCACGCACAGCATGAACTGGGTCTTTATCAGCCCTCTTTTGAATCTGCTCATCTTATCAAAAAAACTTGCTTGAATTTTGAAAAGCAAAACGAAATATCAAAAAGTTGTTCTGCCCTTGTGAACTCTTCCCCAAGGATGGAAAAGTGTATCAGTATTAACATCCATCTTTCTATACTCTAGACTATAACAACACACAATGGCATTTCTCCAATGTATACCTTCTGAAGTTTTCAGTGAACTGAACTGAAGGCAAATGCTGCAATTCTGTAAGCTTTCCCATGCAAGATGCACATAGAATTTTACGAATTTGGGAAAAGTGTATTTGAGGAATGCAAGCCAAGTGGGGAAAATATTGCATTTAAAAGCATGCACAAAAGTAAGACGTGTGTGCGTGTGTAATGCAAGCTCTTGTAGCAACAGGATGGAGCAGCCTGAAAACCCAGACAATTTCAACAAAGCTGAGCTCAACGATTCTATCTGTCCCTAATTTGCATATGCTTCACCACTGCGATGTGCATTCAGATAGCCGAGTGGCCCTGTTTGCCTCACATAGTATGGCACAGGTAGTCCACCTCTTTGCATTCACATTGCTGTGCAGATGGGAATCTGCACCACCAGCTATTGGACATGCACATGGTGGACATGTCATAAGTGGAGCCAGGGGTCAGACTAGATAGCCTGGGAGGCCCCTTCTAACTCTCTGTTTCTCTGTTTGTATTGCCATAGTTTATGCTGGAGGCCTCCAATGCAGTTCACACAATCCCAGGGTGGGTAACAAGCCATGGGTTGTTGAGTTATTTGATGGCTCCTGCACCCTGCTCCAAATGAGCCATGCCACCTGGGTTTGGACAACATGGCAAGCTGCACCAGTGAGAGTAATTAGGGGAATCAATCCAACAGGCACTTGAGGGGAAATTAGTGTAGCTCATTTCCCTCCTGACAGTCATGTGGACTGGCCTTGAAATATGATAAGCAAGCCCAATGTGTGACTGCAACATGGCAAATGAAAAGTTTACTTTATGATTTCTAGTAGTCCCAAAACTGCCTATGCATTTACTGGTTGATTTCAGACAGGATCTGTGTGACCATAGCAATAGTATAGAGGCAGTTGGAATTAAATTGTCAAAGTAATTCACTAAATGCTAAATATTAAACTGTTTGTATCCAATGTCTGTGTTGTAATTTTGCCCTTTTGAAGGGCTGGGAGGAAGAGAAAAAGAAAGAGGCCTTGTAATGAATGATTTTCTGCCAGTATGATGCAACGGTTAGTTTTTAAAAAAAGCAATACCCTGCCTGAATAGCAAACTCTGCACTCCAAGACTTGC